GAAGAGACTGGACACCATCACTTGTCTGAAATGGTATAGGGCAAGGGTGTCAAACTGGATTTATTTGTGGGTTGGATCAGCATTGTGGTTTACTGTGAGCCGGCTGGAGGGGAGATAGGATGGATGCCTCCTGCAACACTTTACCGACCAAAATGGGGCATGGGGGTCATGTGCGGGGGGCCCCACACCCTGTTTTCAGCCTTGAAAGCTCCTATAGCCCTTTGCTGGCCAAAGTGGTGTGTATAGGGGCCCCCGTTTTGGCCGGCAGAGTGGTGTAGGAGGCTGTCCAGGCCAAAAACTGGGAACTGCAGGATGCTACTTCCAGGCTTGCCTTGCGGGCCAGATTTAAGCACTCCGCAGGCCTGATCCAGCCTGCTGGCCTTGAGTTTGACATCCCTGGTCTCGGGTCTTCTGCTTGAAAAGGGTGTTGGACTAGAAGACCTCCAAGGTCCCTTCCAGCTCTATTCTGATTGAGATGATCTCTGCAGCCAGAGGAGCTTGGAGAAACGGTTCCCCTGCTTGCATCAATCTAAAGATGATAGCCAAGCCAGCCTTGTTTCCTGTTGTTGTTGTTTTTTTGAAGTTTTCTAGCCCTTTGATTGCACAAAAATACTGATACAAAAACCTGAGTGGATCCTCATTCTATTCTGCTGTTCAGCCAAGGGGAAATAGTTGTGAAGCTCCTCTGTCTTGCTTCTCAGTTTAGAATATTCGCTCTTTCACCCTCTTTTTTAAAGCAGAAGCATCTGCTGTGCTTTCATTTTAAAACTTGCACCCAAAGGTAGCATCAAATGTAGCCGTCAAGGCACCAATGTAGAAAGTGGGAGACGGTGACTTCTAGTCCTACTTTCGCATGGAAGCAGCTAGGTCACCTTGGTCCAGTTACTTACTCTCAGCCCAACTTATTTCACAGGTTTGTTGTTTTGGGGAAAACAGGAGGAAGGTGTATGGTATTCTCTGCCTTGAGTTATTTGTAAAAATAATAAAGGTAGTAAATAAATAATTAAAGTAAATAAGTAAGTGCCAGATCTTTTGCAAGATCCAAAGATCTTCAGAAGCTTCCTGGTGCAGAATCTTTGTGTCCTTTCTGCCCATTAATGGGATTGATATGTAGTTAGATAAGGACCCACAATTGCACAGGATTAATTTCCCATTTCATTTTGATTTATTTGAGAATGACATAAATTTTTCAATCCTTTTACCCTTGCTCTTTATTCTGAGAAGGGTGCGAAGCGGTAGAAAAGGTGATGCTACATCTTATATTTTTAGCTTTGGCGCACAGGGAACATTTCAGCTTCCCAAAGTTGTCTGGAAATATGCGAACTTTTTGAGGAGTGGGAACTGTGACCATTGTGCCCAAAACTCTGAAAGACCCTTATGATGTGTAGTTGTGAGATGACGCTTCTAAATTACATGTCAGTTAAATTCATATTCTGGTAAAAAAAATTCGGAATGAATATTCCTTGGTCTTGTTGCCAATCTCAGAGAGGCCGAGTATTAGTACTATTATTTTCATGAATTTTCAAATTAAAAACCAAACATCCCTAGATTCTAGTTTCTTTCCTTAACAAATCACCATGCTTATTGAGATACATGTTTTAAAGCAGTGCCAAGCAACTTATGCTTCCATTAGAATTGAATTAAATACATTTCCTGGGCTGCAAGAAGTAAACTTCTGAAACTAGAATTTTCGACTTATTCTCAAGCCACAAAACCTGGAACAAATGTATACAATATTTTGAGGTGAAAAAAATGCATGTTGATGCTGAAATGCATGTAAGGAAATCAGGAAATTTCACCCCTCAGAATTATACTACAATTTTATTGCAAGTAGTCCATTTTTGGCGGTTTGTTTCTCTATTATTCATGAGAAGTAATCTGGAACAGCTGTAAGCACAGAAACAAAAAGTCTTATTCGCATTCAAACTCTTTGCTAAACTCTCAATTTGCAAAAATTAGCTCCTTCTCTTCCTCTATCAGTTGCCCAGCCTATTAACAATTAATGCCAGCTAACAAAGAACAAAATTCAAACAAACAAACAAATTAAAATCTACATTCCAGACTGAAATAAATATATTTGAAAGTCTTAAAAAGTAGTGAAATGAGTTGTATAAAAAGTATTAGAAAGTTGGTCCCTGGCCAAGTTCTAACAAAATGAATCGGGTGAGTGTTTAGCTGAATCACAGGCAGACTCTACAGGTGTGTCAAGAGCGATTCCCTCTTTCACCTGGTTGCTTCTTCGCTCTCAGCTTGACAACAGTCGGGATGGGGGTGGATGGTATGTCAGGGAGGGAACGGAATGCCAGCCTGCAGATCGAGGGACCCTGCTGCCAACCTCAAGGTCCCACACCACAGCGGTTTGAGAGATCCAGACTGTTCCCGTAACAAAAAAAGCGGGTTTAATTGAGCAAAGTAAGGAACTGAGGGGGATGGCCAGAGGGAAAGAGCAAGTTTCTTGTGTGCGGGAAAACCAGAGCCGGTATTGTTTCTTCTGTGCCAATGTAGTGTAGTTTTCCTTTTGGGAAGCACAGTGTCCCAGGAAGTCTCCTTTTGGAACCTCCAGCTGGACAGTTGACAGGGTGTTGGTGTTTGAGTGATCTTACTTGTTTTCCAAATGATAGACCGAGCTCACAATAGAACATGTAGTATTCTGATGTGTTTTTAGAAAGGATTTTTTTCAGTTACCTGAATCTAGGCATAGGAAGACAGACAGGGCCAATCTATTCATAAGCAGAGACTCCAAATATGCAACATGGCTAGGGAAGCCAGAGCTGACAAGATTACTAGGACAAAAACCTAGGATGTGTATTCCCCCTTTTGCCCATAGAGCCGGCCATGACTCTACATTCCCATGGGGTTGGGAATCTGGCAACTGCCATTAAAATATTAAAGGACACATTCTTAATCACAAAGCTCCAAAGAATGTATAAAAGCCCACCTATCTCAACCCCATTTTGTCAGCCACCCATGAAACATGCTGCTGTCACTGAAGTTTCTGGCATCCAAATGAACTCTGAAATGAATTCTTTCATGAATTCTTTCCTTTAGCCAGCCTCATTTTATTTCCAGCAACTTTCTCCCAGCTTGGAACCAGACTGGATTTTTCTTCCAATAATTTGTCATGCCAGATGGGACTCCAAGCTAACCTGACCCACAGACCAGGCCCGGGTAAACCTCCGTCTTTGCTGGCAGCAGATCCCTTGTGTCTGTGGGTGGATTCCCCAGACCTTTCTCTTTGGAACAAGGGTAGTAAAAGGAGTCTTGAACTCAACGGCTGCTTGGAAAGGAGGTGAGTACCTCTATGTTTTAGCTTTTGAAGCCCAGGAGAGTGAGGGGAGTGTGTGTATGCCTGTTTGTGACCAAGAGGACCCTTCTCCCAATCTCAGCTGGATCCCTCCATGCTTTTTCTAACCGCTGTTTGCTAGTCCCAGAGGATCATGACCTACAGACTCTAGAAAGCAATGGGGTTTGGCTGGAGCGCAGGATCTTCTGTTAGAGCAGAGAGAGAGAGAGAGAGAGAGAGAGAGAGACTGTGTGAATAGGGAAACTGAGAAGTGAGTGAGAAGGTCGCTCCAGGGAATCACTGGGCAGAGTCCTCCTAATTAGAAAAGGAGGGGCTCATACTCTGATTAATGTCCTCCCAGGCCCTTTGCCTGAGAACTCAGGGCGACAGTCCACACTCTGAAAGGTACCTTCACCTCATGGTGCGGATCAGTGATGGGATTCAATTTTTTTTACTACCGGTTCTGTTGGCATGGCTTGGTGGGCCTGGCAGGAGAAGGATATTGTAAAATCTCCAGTCAGAGGTGGGATTGGCCGGTTCTCCGAACTACTCAAAATTTCTGCTACCGGTTCTCCAGAACTGGTCAGAGCCCGCTGAATGCCACCTCTGGTGCAGAATAAATCTGTGGCTTGTGAGAGACCCAGGAAAGGAACCTTGGAGTCTCATTGCAGACAATGGCTCAGAGTCAAGAGTCCCACCAAGATCTCCATGTGGGAGGCGGAAACTTGGGATTGGGAAAAATGGCCCATCCAGGCAGGGATGAAGAAAAGGCGTGTGTGCAGGTTGTGTGAGGAACGGACACTAATCAGCAACGAAGCTGAAAAAAAACAGTTTGGCTAATATAGGGGTATTAAAAGAAAACATTGATCTTTCTCCCCTTCTAGATTTTTGCCTTTCCTAATTTAGGTTAATTGAGATTTATGGTGAGAGTGACCAGGATGTGTAAACCGGAGAGTTCCGTTTTCCCTTTCTTTTTTCTTTTCTCTTTTCTCTTTTCTCTTGTGTGTGTGTGTGTGTTTGTGTCAAAGTCTTTGCCGTTGAGGTAATGTAACCGTTAAATGTCTCTAATCCCTTAGAGACAACATTACTAACTTAACAACTGCAGTAATTCACTTAACAAATATGACAAGAAAAGTCATAAAATGGGGAAAACTCACAGTAAATTTCTCACTTAGCAACATAAATTCTGGACTTAATTGTGGTTGTAAGTCGAGGACTACCTGTATTGTAGATTAGCCTACTTTAATTATACTGTGTCAAACCAGAATGATTGATTAAGCAGCCAAACAGTGTGAACATAGGATCGGTTGTTAAATCATTTTCTCAGATCTAATTTTGAAGTTGAAAAAGCGATTAAGTAAGACTGATTTATGTGATAAGCAGCCATAAAGTTCTTTTTTTTCTTAATTGAGTTGGGGACATGCCTGTTGATGGCTAAGCACCATGAATATACCAGGCTATTGCAGCTTGTTCAAGAAATTGTGGTTAGAAATTCTGGCTTAAAATTATATAGAGGAAGTCATCTGTTCTTCCTCTTCATGGAACCTCGGAATCTCTAGATTACAGCATATCTGTGGGCCGAATGGCATCACAAGTGTTACTTTGGGATGTGAGGAGTCAACATGAACAAGCTAAATGAATGATTAATGGCTGCTTTGAAGGAATCTAGGTTGGGATTTAAGGTTTCTCAGCTTCTGTGTTTGTTCCTATTCCATAGGCTCAGTCCCAGGGAAGATACGAAAGATGACTGACCATCCTCAGATGTCTTCAGATCCTTCTACAGCAAATATTTCTTGCCCTCCCTGGAAAGAGACATGCCATCCTTCCCAAAGGTTAAGCCATTGCTCAGCTGCTGAGCCTGGAAAGGACATTGTGTGGGAAGATACATATGGAAATGAGCTGATCTTTGCCTTAGATGATGAGGAAGCTCCAGCTCCAAACCCAGCCGACAGTTTTGAGGAAGATGACTGCAAAGAGCACCCCTTCTGTGGACCATCCTCTCCTCTGTTTCCCCTTGAACCAGATTTCTCACCCATTTCTCACTCCCTGTCTCCAGTTCACTCACCATATCAGAGATCAACTGGCTTGGAAAACTCACACAGCCCCAAACCCTTCATCCACTTGGTGAAATCCCTCTCAACTGTAATTGAGTCCCGGGAAGGCCCATCCCTCAAACCCCAGCCTTTGTTGAGCTTGGTCAAATCCATTTCCACTGAAATTTCTCACTTGGAGCCCGAGGTGACACTGTCCAAATCAGACTCTAAGCTCAATGTTCATCTGTGGAGACAAATCACCCAGCCCAGGAAAAAAAATGGTGATTCCAGGACTGCTCCATCATCTCCCAATCATTCTCCCAAGGGCAGCTTCTTCAAGGCTCAGGAAGCCAAGTTTGAGGACACCAAAAGGAGGTTTTCGGAAGCCAAGCAGGAGCCACTCAGCAGGCTCAGGGAAATCATTGGGGATGAGAATAACATGTCCCCTAAACTCCGGTTACCCCTCTCCGGGCACCAGCAAGGGGCTGATTTCCTTTCTCATCATTTCAAGGGGTCTCCCCTCTTGGAGAGCAATTTGGAACATCCCCTCCATGAGACAGTTTGGGCTGAGACCACCTCATTGGGGACAGGGGAGATGGAAGAGCAGAAGTGGGACTCCTCTTCTCCACATTGCCAGCATGAAGAGGGTCCCTCTGGGGAGGTCTTCCAGGTGGTTGAGACGGCTGAGAAAAAATGCAAGCCCGCTGGCGACATGCAGACTCTCTCACCTCTTGAGGCAGTCCAGCCCCCCAAATGTTGCAGCCCAGTGCCATGTAAAGTTCTTACCTGGATTGCCATCTTGGCCTACAATTACCTGGTCCTCCCATTGCCTCCTTATATCTCCGGCCTCTGCCTTGGCTTAGCCAGTGGGTTCCTTCTTGGTCTCCTGGTTATTTTGCTGCTGGTGCCAAAGCGTGCCCTGTCCCCACAGAGAAAGCCCTCTCCTCAGGGCATGCTGCCCTTACAAGTGATACCTCAGCAGCCATGGGACCTCCATGTGCTCAAGGTAGGATGGGGTCACTGGTGGGAGGAAGCCCAGAGCTGGCTGGCTTCTGAACTTGCTTCTTTTCTTTAGAAAACAGGCTCTTTAATTGTACAGGAAAAGGGAAATGATTATGGAAGGCTGAGCTTCTTCAAGAAAGGAAATTCAGGCAGACCATGTTTAACAACTGCTCTGTTCAGTGAACTGCCAAAGTTACAATGGTGCTGAAAATATAATGGATATGTTTTTACTCTTCTTTTGAACATTCCCTGACTAAAATTAATTCTTCATTTTCCAGGGTTGGATGAACGAAATGCATTTTTATGATCCTGAAATTTATCATCCTTCTCTGACCCATTCCGTATTTGTGACCTTAGAAAACTCCAACCTGACGTTGTCTTATCCCCAAAGCAGCATCCCTCGGCGAGCCACCTTTGGGGAAGAGAACGTTGAGGTGGCTTTTTTGACCCACCGACTTTATGATATGAGTGGAGCTAAGGTAAGATAGATGAATGAACGAATGAATTCTTTATTGGCCAAGTGTGATTGGACACACAAGGGATTGGTGCAAATGCTGTCAATCATAAGGAATCATAAGAATCATAATAATGTATCTGATGGGGTGGTGGGTATGTGTAGTAAGTACAGATTTGAAATTTGTAGGAGAGGCCAGGAGAGCTTTCATCCTTTCATTCCCCCATCTGCAGATACGGTTCTGTCGTAAGAGGTGCCCCTTAGATAAATGGGGGGTATTTGAGACCTCACAGGATCTCCCGTTCCTTGATGCAAATGAAGCCTTTCTTCTAATGCAATCCAGAAGGGATTAAAGTCCTTTTCTTCCTATTGCACTGATTCAAGCTGGACCCTGGGTTTTTAATAAGGTATTCAATCAAAAGGAAGGTCATTTAATTTAAATGTTTAAGTGCTCCACATTATCAGCATTTCTTTTGCCTTTGCCTTTAGTTTCTTAGCTGTCATACCCCACAAAACAGCTACTACCCCACAAAACTGTCTCAGAAGAAAGTTAAAATTGAAATGGCTAGGAACTCATTGAGTGATCCATTCTTGTGCGATTTGGGAAACTTTATGGGAGATGTCTTAGAATAATCATTCTTACTATGAGATCACAGGATTTGGGCATTCTAAGGCAAGGTTTCGTGGGATTCAAACACCAAAGTTCATAAGATAGAACACATAGGACTCCTTGGGAGGATTGTCAGGCCATGCAATAGCATTTGGGTTGTGAAAAGGTTGCTATGGTAATTCAAGCTGCTTTTTCATGGAGAAAATGACTTGATTCTCTTGTGACTTTAAATCGTCTGTTATTTTTCAGGTCTTCCTCTTCCCACCTGGGCTGGCTCGCAAAAGGACATGGAACAAAAAATATCCCATATGCATTCTTTTCCCAAAAGAAGTGGATCTGAAGACCAAAGCACCAGCAACAAAAGACCAAGAAGTAGACTCTCCAGGAGAAAAGAACCCAAAGAAGAAAGACGTATCAGGACAATGCCCAGCTGAGGTCCAAGAAAGGACACTTTATCTCTTTGGCAGAACGGGTAGGGATAAGGAAGAGTGGTACCAATATCTCCTAAGGGCCTGCCAACCTGAACACCATGAGCTACACCACACTAGCCAAGGTGAACTCCTCTCAGGTAAAGCAGGCTGCGAACCATGGATCCAACTCCCAGGGTTCCTTGAATTTTTTGTTGTATATTTTTCATTTTTTTTAACAATGTAAAACATAAAAAATCAATATCTATATAAACAGTGCGCTGTCAGAGAACAGTTGAGTTTGAGATATAGGCAATAATAAGAATAATATTCTTAATATTAGTAATAATCACATGATAGTAGTAGTATTTACTTATCCATTTTAGTAATTTTTCATTGTAATTAAACCTTCGCTTGTACTTTTAGATTTCTAACTTCTGTTTCTATTGATAAAACAAATGCCATGTTACAATATATTCAGTTTTTTCTTTCTCCTTAATTTAAAGTGTTAATCTATCAATTTCTGAACATTTGAATATTTTCTGATACAATTTCTGTAGGGATCTCTTCATTTTTCCATTGTTGTGCAAGCACAATGCTGGCTGCTGTTAATACATGTAAAGTTAGATGTGTATTCCTTTTATTATATTTTTCTTGTAAAATACCCAACAAAAATATTTCTGGCTTTAGATCTATATGTTGCTTTACTATTTTTTCTAACATGTGTATTTTTGTCCAATTTTTTTTGCCTTTGGGCATGTCCACCACATGTGACAATACGAGTCCGGTATTTCCAGCACTTAGCAGACATATCCTTAAACATCTTTGTTAATCTTGCAGGTGGAAAGTGCTATTTATATAACATTTTATATAAATTTCCTTTGTATGCAGTTGACATTGTTAATTTATAATTTATTTCCCATAGTTTCTGCTATTTCTCTAATTCTATAGTATAACCAAAATTCTTAGCCCATGCTATCATTTTTCTTAACTTGCTCTTCTTGCATTTTGGTACTCAGTAAGGAGCTATAGATTTTTAAACTTAGTTTTTCATCTGTCCCTGTTAATACTTGGTCAAGTTCTGTTGGTTCTTTATAGAAACTGTACATTTTAGCATCTTTCTCATATCTTGACTGTATTTGCACATGCAGGCACCATGCTAGATCAATCCTTGACTATTCAATTCTTGCTTAGTTTTAAATTCCCCTTTTTCATTCAAGATGTCCTTATACCTTGTAATATTTTCCATATTGATAATATTCGGATGTATCAGTGCCTCCATCATGAAAAGCTAGACTGGTATTTTCCAGCAGTGTTTTTCTTTAATTTTTGCCCATACTAACATAATGTCTTTGAAAATATCTATGTATTTTATTTTTGCCACACCATAAAAAAGTGTGCTACCCCAATTGCAGATCATGTCCTTCCAATGTTAATAATTGTCTGTGCCTCAAATTATCCATTCTTTCACCCACGTAAATACAAAGGCCTGATAATATAACTCCCAATCTGGCAACCCAACCCCCCCCCCCTTTATTTTTAGAATCTTGTAACATTTTCAGACTTATTCTTGCTTTTTTCCCTTGCCAAATGTATTTTGACATCATTTTATTTAATTCCTCAAAGTCTTTTTTTTCAGCTTTATTGGTATTGTTTGGAACAAATATAATAATCTCAGCAAAATATTCATTTGTATAGTAGCTCCACTTCCTATCAAGGATAGTTGTAAATTTTTCTACTTCTCCAAGTCTGATTTAATTTGTTGCAGGAGTTTGATGTAATTGTCTTCTTTGATGGTAGGATATCTTGCTGTTGAATGAATTACTAAATATTTTACTTTCTTAACAACATTTAATAATGATATTGGTTTATAATTTTTAATCTGCATTACGTCTGAATCTTCTTTTGGAATAAGAGTAATATTTGCTTCTGTCCAAGTATTTGGTATTTTAGCTTCTAACAATACTTCATTATAAACTTCCAGCATTGACAGTCCTAAAGTGTCTTGTCGATGCTTATAGAATTCCACTGGTAATCCATTGGCCCTGGTGTTTTATTATTCTTTTGTCTCTTGATTGCCTGTTAGTTCCATCATCGTTATTGTTTCATTTAACATGGCTTTCACTGTTTCAGACACTTAAGGTAATTCAGCTTTTTCCAAATACTGTTTTATTTTATCTTCTGAAATTTTTTCTTGACCATACAAATTTTCATAGAAATCCTGAATTATTTTATTTTTATTTTCATTTTGGTAATGAAGAGTTCCCTTCTCATCTACCAATCTATATATCAATGTTTTTCTTTCTCTTTTTTTAGTTTAAAGGCTAACCATCTACCTGGTTTATTAGCGTTTTCAAAAAAGTTTTGTTTTGTACTTTCAATTTTTGAGCCAATTCTTTTTCCATTAGATTCAATTTGTATTTTATTATTTCCATTTGATTTTTTTAAGTTCTTTTTTTGGTGGTTCTTTCTGTAATTCTAATTCTAATCTTTTGTGTTCTTCTAGTGTCTTTTGTTATTGCTATTTCCCCCCCCCCTCCCTGTATAAGTTATAGCTAGTCCCCAGAAATACGCTTTAGCTGTATCCCATACATTTTGCAGTGAAATATCTTCTCTTTTATTCTATTTAAAAAAGAAGTCAATTTCTTTTTCCAATGTTTGAGTAAATTCTTTAGGGTTCCTTGAATTGATTGCCTCTTCCTTTTCAGAAACAGAATGAGGAAATTCTGGGATGAAATCATGTTTTGTTTAATTAAATTGAATGGCATCTGTTTTTATCTTGAACCAATCCAATCCCAATCTCAATCTAATTCTTTGTTGCCACATTTTTCCTGGGCCTGGGGGATGCCATTCTAAGGCCGAGGGTAATACGTGCAATGGTATAGCATCCACCTGTGTGTGGATGGGAATAAAAAAGTCATCCATAATAAAGGTGCGGGTTTTTTTACTTTTTTGACTCCCTCTACACATGCTGTCTTCTTCTGCACCCATAGATAAAGAAAAGGCAGGTTTCATATAGACTCACTTGAGCCAAGCAGCTGTTTCTTCAGTTAACAAGTATAAGGTGGATTTTTTTTAGGAGGTAAATAACGTCGAGGACCAAATTGGAGTAGAACCTACTGAGGGGTTAACTTTTGTTTCTTACTTAAACCCAATTGGAGTGATTTTCATCAGAACCAAAACCCTTATGTCCTTGATATTGCTGCACTTCCAGTCCTGACCAGTCTCGTCATTCTTTGTTATAGCTGCCCTTCCTTCTCTTGCTCAGGTATAATCCAGCCCATCCCTGCAGGAAAGGAGACCCACAAGCGCAGCAGCAGCAGCACAGAAGACCTGCTCCCTGCCACTAAGCCCAAGGTGCTGAGCATCAGCAGCCGAGAAAAACTCTTATTGGATTACAATGTGTACATGTCCCAAATCATTCCAACAGTTACTGACTCCGACCCAAAGTCCTGCTCCAATATAGCAGACAGCCCCGGTTCCAAAAAGGTGAGGAAATCTTGCTGAAATCCCAGGAAAAGCAGTTACCAAGTGAAACTGCAACTGTGTGTTTGATCTTACAAAGGATTGGTTGTGAAGTTACTTTTTCATGACTGTTGTAACTGTGAACAATCACTGAACGAGGTAGTTGTTAAACAAGAACTACCTTTATATGTATATAAAATTGAACAAGTTAAACGTATTTTTTAAAAATGTATCGAATTCAATTTAAAGATTAGGAATTGTTTTTCAAAGCTCCTTTTCAAAAATTGAACAAAAATTGTCTGTTGTGATCAATGAGCTTTGATTATTGAGAATTTATCTTGGACATTTTGTAAGTTATCTATTATTCTTTGCAATTTAGAAGTTGTTTATACTCTGCTTCAGCCACAATTGCTGCCCCCAAACTCCCCATTTTATCTCCTCGGATCTTCAGTCTTAGGGAAAAAAAATCTCTATTTTTTTGATAAGACAAGGGAGACATGATGCACTGAGTTTATGGATGCTGGTAAGGTGTGTGACATTCCATTTGCTGAAAAATTAAAACTGATGGTACCATCCCCAAGTATTCAGAGTTTGCTAAAATGTTTTGAAAGCCAACTTTCAGACCCATAAGGTAAACATACCATCTTACCATCAAAATAAAATACCACATAATCTCAAGGCAATCAGAGACATTTGCAAAAGGGGGTGGTGTCAAAAGTATTAAGATGTTTGTGATAACTACGCAACGGAAACTCCACTCTTGTTTTTATGTATGTTGTGCTTTCCTTAAACACCCCCACTTATTTTTGCCAGTTCCCCTGATTTACAGAGTGAGAACTGTAAAGGGCGGTTAGATCTCACCAGTGCAAGTGGCTGATAAGATGAATGATTTCTTTTCCTTTTGTTCTTTTCAGTTCCCTGGGGATGAAAAGCTGACCCCCAACCCTCCTACAGTTTGGGTCAATGCAATGCTTGGCCGAATGTTTTGGGACTTCCTAAGGGAAAAATATTGGGCAGATCAAGTTTCAGACAAAATTCAGAAGAAACTGGGCAGAATCAAGGTGAGAAAAGCTGCTTTCCTTTGTCTTCTTGAGAAAACTTCCAGGGAGCAAAGAAACCCTGCCCTGATGTCCAGGAAGAAGGCTGAGAAAGTCAGAAGGCATTGTTTGCCTGGCTCCAAAGACAGATTTGGAAGCAGATTTGCTCATCCACATGTTGTAGGCATGCACCTCACCCAGGAGTGGGATTCAGCTGGTTCGGCTTGGTTCAAGCGAACCAGATGTTAAATTTGCATCTGGTTTGCTGAACTGGTAGTTGAACCGACTGGTTGGCCCTATCTACCCCACCCCACCTCACCCCACCTCCTAGGAGTCTCCACGTGGCCTATTTTGGATGCAGGTAAGGGCAGGGTCCACGCAGAGGCTCTGGGAAGGCAAAAAATGGGGGAGTCCGTTTTCGTCCTCCCGGAGGCCTGAGGGAAGCCTCCGGGCTCTGAGGAAGGCGAAAAATGGCCCTCCCAGAAGTTCCAGTAGGCCAGGCTCACCATGGCCACACCCACCCAGCAACCAGGCACAGAACCAGTTGCTGGGATTTTTGAATCCCAGCCTGACCTCACCCTACGTTCCCACAGCACACTGAGTCACAAATTCAACAACATTTCAGCCTAGAATGTCATGTAACTCAGCACACATTATTAGATTATGGTCTTGTAAATAATGCAAAGCTCCCTGCTCCAGATCAGTTGAGTGCACCCAATACTTTCTTCTATATATTTAATTTTTGAGTGCTGCGGTGTTCTGACCCAGCTCCCAAACACGACACCTCTGTAGTTAAATCAATGATTCCTTTATTAGGAGCGCCAGCAGTCCTGGCAAAACCTCACACACAGCAGACTAACCAGTCTGTCCGGCAGGGTGTTGAATAGTTGTCTGCCACATCTATTCATCTCCACCCCCTGCCTTTTATCCCCAGAGCTAGGGTGGGGCTTTGCTAGCAGCAGTGGCTCTTCTGTCCCAAAGACCGGCCCACAGGTTTCAACTGCTCTCCTCTCCTCTCCGCCTTCTGCGCATCCGAGTGTCAGGCATTGGACCCAGCTGTTCCTCCTCTTCCTCATTAGCCACCTCCAGACTGGGGGCTGTTGACTCTCCACCCGAGGGCTCACAGATGGCCCAGACTCTGCCTCTCTATCTCTGACAGCTCCACTCCCTCTTCCCCCTCAGAGCTCTCAGGTTGCCTTGATGCTGGCCCTGACTCCCTGGTATGGCTGCTGGAGGAGCCGGTGGCTGACAGGCCACAACATGCAAACTGTCTCATCATATTTAGACCAAGCAACCAGAGAGGCTGTTGTTCTGGATGCAAATGGATTGACTGATATGGTATCATTCTCAGCTAAAGTTCCCCCCTCCCCGCTTCTGAGTTCCTAGTGGACCACAACAAAGGCACTAGAGGCACAGTGCACTGCCCTGAGGCTGGTTCCATCAGAGAATTAGCTGGCTCTGGGAATGGGACTGGAGGTTTGTGAAACCCTACAGAAGAATAGGGGCACATTCCTTTCGTATCTTCTAAATAGTAACTTTCCCACCTCAAAGCAAGAGGCAGTTAGAAAGAGGATGAAAGGCACGAAGGGCATCTTAATGTTCTCTCTGACAAGTGAAGGTGAAGTATGGGTGGTGAGCACAGCACAAAACATCGTGGGCTGTTCCCTGATACCACTAGACGACCTCGCTAGGGCTCACTGCCTCAGAAGAGTGAGGAAAATCCTCAGGGACGACTCACATCCCGGCCGGCCCTTCTTCACTCTCCTACCATCGGGTCAGAAATAGAGAAGTATAGGCAGCTGCACAGAGAGGCTGAAGAACAGTTTCTACCCGTGGGCTGTCAGACTCCTGAACGGAAAATAACTGCATGTCAACATAGTAGCCAGCACATTGTGCAACAAGGTCACATAGTTAATAAGGTTGGGACTGGGTTAGAGACTTCTATTCTCATTGTGAGTTGTATTTTGAGTGCACAAAGGGATGCTCAGCCAATCTTATTGTACACATGTTGTACTCTGACAATAAAGGAAATAATAATAAGAAAGTATACAAATCTGGTTTCCAAGATTGTGTTACCCAATACCTTTTTCTTTGCAAGAAATCTACACTCTATGAATCTTGCTTTCTTGTTTGCGTGTGGCCATTAGGGGCCTGACCTTGACTACTAAAGAATGCCAGCCTGACAGCAGCTTTCTTCCTCTCTCTTTGACTTGTTTCCTTCTTTCTTTGCTCTCATGCAGTTGCCATATTTCATGAATGAGCTCACCCTAACTGATCTGGAGATGGGGACCTCCATCCCACACATACTTGGCACTTCTAGCCCCACTGTGGATAACCGAGGTATGTTTTGGTGACCGGCCAGCCTGTGATTCCCATGGCTGTCTTCTTATGGCCCATGTGAACCTGGAATGTCTGGAAGCGGAACAGCCTGGACTGGCAGGTTTCCTCCAGACGCCTCTGGAAGGGAGCTTTGCTTTTTCAAGTTGTCTGTTCCATATTTGCATAGCTGGAAATAGTGGGACATGGTGTGGACGGGAAAGATTGATAACCAAAAGAAGAAATCTAATTGACAAAAGAAGGAATTATTCAGACTCTAGAAAGGACCAGCCTGGATATGCCATATTCTTTCAGCAAAAGCAGCCACTTCAACTGTTCCTGGGTGGGTGGGTGGGTGGGGGGATCGTTTGCCTCCAAACAAATGATTCTTGCCTCTGGGCACACGGGCACCAAAGTCAGAGTGATACCATCCACATGTCGTGATGTCAGTCTGGATAATGTCTCCAAGGATATCATGATGATGCACATGGTGTCACATGCTCCTCTGTCCATATATTAAGGTTGATACCAAAACAAAATAACAATGCTTGAATGAAACATGAAACATGAATCAGGACAAAGTTTCACTTAACCTACCGTTAGATGGGTTTACACATTATTGTTAGCCATGGTTTATTTAGCCATAATTTAAGGAATAAGGGTACTGTCAAATAGCAATGGCAGAGTTAAAGTAAAGCAAGCATAGGGCCTCAAGCGCTATGTGGAGTCAGCCATCTGCTTTGGAGGAAAGGAGATTTACCAGGCAGCCCTCGGTGACCTTAGACGTTCAGAGAAGGGAGTACAGAATTACAGCAGGGATTTCCTGTGTTCAGGGTAGAGCCATAACCCCTGGTCCATTCCTGGGTGGTTCATTAGCCAGGAATGATCGTCCTTCTTCCAGCAGCCATTTTTCTAGAGCAGCGTTTCTTAAAGTGTGTCCCTAGAACTCCTGGGATCCCCTAAGGTGCTCCCAGGTGACCATAACATCCAAATTATGTGTCAGCCTATGTTGAAATATAATACAACATTAAAATCTCACCAAACCATTGTGAAAAGTGGTAGTAGCAGCAAAGAATGTGTCAATTTTAATTTTTAATACAGTAAATATTGATAAATGTAACCCACACAGACAAATGCAAGGAACGGGTACTAAGAAAGGAAAGGTTTAAGAAACACAATACAATAAACCATAGGCCTTTCAGACGGAATCCAGCCCAGCTGGCACCGGATCCTATCCCAGCACCAAACCATAACCAGTCCTCTCTCCTTTGGCCTTCTTTTTGGCACTGCAGGCCTTTGGGTGGACATGGAGGTGACCTATCAAGGGACCCTGAAGATGACCCTGGAGACCAAGATGAACCTGTATAAACTGGGCAAAGAAGACCTGGAGGAGGAAAACGGGAAAAAGGAGAAGGACAGAAAAGGGTGAGGCTTCTTGGGCCCTTTTTTTAGCTGCCAGCTGAGCTCCTAGGACAGATGCCACCCTCCTCAGAATACAGAAACAGTTTATATTGTCACCTGCCCTGGGAGCTTTATGGTGCTGCCTGTCTTCGCATTCTTTCCTGGAACAACCAGCTATAAGAAAAAGTTTGTTTTGCTATTTTTTATTTTTAAATATAATTTTATTGAATAATTTTTAACAAAATAAAAACAATGCAAATATTAGAAGAGAATAAAATAAGGAATAATAGTGAATAATAAGAAAAAAACAGAAAAAGAAAAAAGAAGAAAGAAAATAATAGAGCAACTTCTAAAAAGGTAGCTTTGATCTTTTTGACAGTGGTTATAAATGCATTTATATGTTAACTTCTCTATCTGAAGTTACATCATAATTTCCTTCTTTCCATAAGCTCCCCTTTCTAATCTTCAAATCCAGGAATCACAGATCAATTTTTCTCTTTTTTCAGCAAAAAGTACATAAGTCACTGATAAAGTAATTGTTGATATTTCACCTATCAAAGTTAATTTTTCTATCTCTACTATTTCTGTTATTTTCACCAAACTCGGTCGTGGGTATTTTGGAATCTTTCAGTTTTTGTGAAATGGAAAGTGGTCACTTTGCTGCACTTCTCTGCTACTTTTGAGGCCTCTAGTACACCATAGAATCTCACTGAGAAGCCACAGTTTCACTACGAAGTCAGATTTTTTTTTTGCATTTTTTTCATCTGCAAACTAGTGTGCTGGTTTGCTTTACTACCTTAGAATGCTTTCCAGATGACAGGATGACAAGGAATATGTTTGAATTAATCCTATTCTGGATTTGCATAGCAACCTGATCTATAAACAAAACACACTAATTCACAAAAAGCATAACATCTAAATCCACCTTCTCTGTCTTTATTTGTAATGATTATTTCATTAACTGATTCAGGAGACGGTAGCTTATTAATGAAATAGGTTTGTTATCAATGAAAAAAGTGCCTCTTTGCTGGTTCACAACAAGGGTATGAAAGAAAAGGAGGAAGTTTCTGACCTCATGTCTTGAGAATAACTTGGTTCTAAATTGGAAGCTATTCAGTTGCTGAAATACTTAAACGCCAGAAGAGCTTGCAAAAGAACTTGCAGTGAGACGCTGGGTTGGAAGAGTTAGGGTCAGTTGAAGGGACACTCTCTGAAGAAGCCCCGTGTGTGACCGGAGCTGGCCTTGTCCGGAGCTGAGCTGACTTGCATGTCTTGAATTCAGCTGATCTGAACTGGCCTGAGAGCTGAGCTGAGGCCAACCAGTGGCTGCATTGTGACCGAGGCAACAGAGCTCCAGAAGCAGCTCGGGCTCCCATTTTCTGCAGCGGGGTTTCCTTTGCCCCTTTGGGTGTGAAAAGAGCTTTGGGTGAGGAGATGGTGCTGTGTAAGGGCTGCCCAGAAAAAGGCAAAACCTGTGAAAAGGAGGGCAAGCAGGGAGGGTTCTCCTCTCCTGGGCTTTGGTTTTTTCCTCCCATTGCTTTGTTGGCAGAAGGCTAGGAACCCCCTGCATTGCGCCCCCCCGGTCAGAGAAGAAAATCGATTTCAATGAAAGTCCCATAATCTGCCTGGCTAGCCAGTGACAGAGACGTTGCAGAAGAGGCAGAACTAAAGGAAGACCCACAGGGGGAGGAGCAAACCAGTCAAGATGGCAGCTGTGGTCATGTGACCGAAGGCCGCCTTTTACAGGCAGGAGGCATATTAAAAGCTTCGGGGCTTCAATTGCATAGTCCATGGCCATTATCCTGACTTATTGACCCAGCTGCTTCCCTGACACTCTTTGTCCCACCAGGTCATTATTTACCAAGGTTTGTCTGGCAATTTGTTCAGCCTAAGAAAGACACCAGAATGCAATCAAATGGAAGGTCAGTTTTTGCGGATTGGAGCATTAGTGACAAGGGTGAGGAATGCAAGAGCTGATTTGTGTGACACCCCTTTGTCCATCAACTGTCTCTGGGGTGGAAATGTGAAAAAGACAACTAGGGCTGAGGATTCAAATACAGGCTTTTCAGATGTCATAGAATACCAGCATTGGAAGGGACCTTGGAGGTCTTCTGGCCCAACCCCGTTTAAGCAGGACACTCTATAGTACCACTGTAGACAAATGGTTGTCCATTCTCTTCTTGAAAGCCTCCAGTGATGGGGCACTCACTGACCTCCTGCTGAGCTATTTAAGAAACTCTTCTATTCTCCAGCATTGTCCTCCCCCTGCTAACAAATCCCTTTTATTCTCATCCTGTATGAAGGTCACTTCGGATTCACTTCTTAATCTCAGGAAAGGGAATTAAATCCCCAGGGCAGACTGTGAGCCTGGCCCCCATGGCCCTGCCAAGGGCAAATCTTGCAAAGGCTGCCAGCTTCTCACCCTGCTCTCTTTCTCCTTGCAGCTTGAAACCCCGTGTCGACCTGTTGGCTGAGAGCGATGCGGAGTCCTCCAGTGCCGGTTCTTCTGAGGAGGAGGAAATGCCCGTGGTGGAGCTCTCGGGGATCCCCGGAGAAAGGAAAATCCCTCCTGGCGTTGAAGGGTAAGCCCCCGGGTGGCCCTGGCTCCGTCCCCACTTTCCACTTAGCATTCCCCAGTCATGTCCTGGTCCCAGCAGGTGGACGTCATCTCCAGCTGAGCAGGGGAAGAACTAAAGCCCTCCTTAGCTCTACTGGGGTTGGAATGGCATTTCCCTCCTCCAGCCGGTCCTTTCCTTGCTTGACAGCCCCAGCCCCACCCAATTATCTTAAAGACAAATCAACTGGGCTGCTTTGGGTATGAGCAGAGGGATGTTTTGGGAGTATTGGGAGGAGGCATTAAGTAAATGCTCTGGTATAACCACAGGTTATGGAGCCAGTTTGCTGTAGTGCCTAGGACACCAGACTAGAAACCAGGAGACGGGAGTCTGACTTCTAGTCCCATTTTAGGCATGAAAGCTGGGTGACCTTGGGCCAATCAATCTCACCTACCTCACAGGGTTGTAGGGAAAGAAGGAAGAGGAAGGATTATTAGAAATGTTTGCCACCTCGAGTTATTTTTAAAAACAAAGGCAGGATAAATAAATAAATAGAAAAGAAACAAACATATAGCATAGTGCCAGAAAATATAATCAAATAACAGTAAAATTATAAACAAAGTGATAAAAAGAGTATTAGATGTGAAGGGTTGCAATAAAAGAAAGCCATGGCTACATTTAAGAATTTAAGTATTTCTTTCTAAATTTCAATGACAGTCGAGCAAAAGTAGCAACTTGGTTGATGACAGTTGGGAGTGCATTTGCCAGAAGAGAGTTCACTTACCATTAATAATTTGGTCCTGAACTCATTGTAAATGGACTAGTGGTGGACATAATGGATAATGTCCCCCATTTGACCAACCACCGAGAAGTTGTTAGACAAAGAGCGTGCAAAGTCTCCCTTTGAGATATGCGGAGGACATGCAGGCGAAGGGATGTTGAAACCCGTGACGGTGAAACGCTGGTTATGATCACAAAGTGTAGGTATATTTTGTAGTGATGGTACCAAGATGAAAATTTGGATGAAACCTAATATTTTCTTTGCCAAGAGTTAAATTGGTTTGTTTTTTTTTGCTGATGTTGTTCTTTCTTCTTCTTTGAATGCTTTTTACCATATGAATGTCAGGTTTCCAAGTGATGAAAACCATTTCAAAAGAACAGAGCAAAGTCCATCTTCCAAAACAATTTTTCTTTTTATTTAGGAAAGCATCAAATTGGCAAAGTCTGTTGTAATTCCTGATCTGACACAACTCGGAATTACACATCATAATATTGGAAGTTAGAAACAGCCACCCAAAGTCACATTCCCCAATTGAAGTAAATCAACGATTGCCTGGCATCTTCATCTCCACCTCCAGGTCTCAGCAGGGTCAGCATTCGTTCCCACAGGAAGGAGAACCACCTAGCCTAAACAACTCTCTCTATCTCCACTCTTCCCACTTTAGTAATGTGGCAAGCCCGAAACCTTTCCCCCCATACCCAGCAAAGAGAAAGAAAGAAAAGGAATATATAATGAGACAAATTAATATGGCTATATATATGTCAATTTTGGCCTTGACGATGATTTAAATTCGGAGTCAGAGTCCCCCTGCTGTGGCTCCCTGATGCCTGAACCCACCAGTGGCTGGCCTTCCCCCTCCCTCCCCGCCTGCCCTGAGAAGGGAAGGGCAATGGCGGTGGATGGAGACTCGCTCCATAATCCAGGGTGGGAGTGAAGTGCCTGTCTATCTGCCTCTTCTTCTGGCCCTTGTTGGTGCTGCGCGCGCCCTGGGCACTGGGGGAGATGTGTGACTTTCTGTCCTGAGACATTGGCTGGCTGCAGCCGATGCTCTGCATCGTAATGGGCTCCAGGAGGAGGAGGGGACGCCGTCTTCCCCATTGTGAAGCGCGCTAAATTTAAGTGTGCTGCGTAAGGCGCTACAAGAGCAGTGAGCAGCCCACCAAGGCGACGAGAGGAATATGGAGATGCACGTCTTTCTCTCCACCCTAAGACACTGGCTGGGTTGGCTGCAGCTGACGCCACCTCTCTCGTCACCTTTATGGGCTGCTCACTGCTCTTGCAGCGCCTTGCACAGCACACTTAAATTTAGCACACTTCATAATGGGGGAGACGGTGTCTCCTCCTCCTCCTGAAGCCCATTATGCTGCAGAGCATTGGCTGCAGCTGGCCGAGCCAGTCTTGGGGCAGAAAGTCACGTGTCTCCCCCAGTGCCCGGGATGCATGCAGCACCAACAAGGGCCAGAAGAAGAGGCAAGTAGAAGGGTGCTTGGCTCCCGCCCTGGAATACAGAGCGAGTCTCCATCTGCCGCCATCACCCTTCCCTTCTCAGGCGAGGAATGATGGCAAGGGGAGAGGGAGGGGCAGGAGCAGCCAGTGGTGGGATCATCCGACAGGGAGTCGCAGGAGAGGGCCTAAAGAGCCGCACGTTGCCGACCCGCGGCTTAAGCCATAGATTGGGATTCCTTCCATTTGGAAAATAAATGTTAATGTAAATAATTAACCCAAGACATTTGCTCTCTGTGTGTACTACCTGGATATAATCACCACCTGGCCTTTGTTGTATAGTCTTTTCAGATCAGCTGAGATCAACAATTGAAAGCCCACTTGCTCTTCCATACAGACTCACTTTAATGACAGGGAAGGTATATGAGAAGAATCCTGGCAAGGAAGGAGAAGAAATATCCAAGCTCCAGGTCTCATGTATTGAAATGATATTAAATGTTCAAAAGAGGAATCCACTATTTTTTGTGTCACTCAGAAACCCCAAGAGATGGCTTGTATGTAACCTGGAGCCTTAGAAGTGGCATTGGTAGCATTCGAACCATTACGTCTTGTCTAGGTGCAAGAAGACGGATGTATTAAATGTCAGCTATGGGATTCATTGCTGCCACATAGTTGAAGAAAGTGGGTGGGGCTGATGTTAATTGAGTGGCTCTTAGTAGACAAAATATATTGTTTTGATAGTTCAAGGTTACAGAGTGTGGCTCAGAAAGAATTAAAACTTACTTTGGGATTGGTACACGTGATCTGGTGATGAAGGAAAAGGACATGGGTTGTACCTTGGGACTTTGTGGGGAAGCCAGGAAGATTTACTTCTGGATTTCCCCAGTATGTGCCAGGTCCTGTTCTAATAAAAGTACTTTGAGATGGCATGTGTTTTGGAGTTACTGATAGGAATGGAATTTCCCTGGAACACTGACATTGAACTGAAGTTACATTGAAGTTGTCATCAGAATGGGACAGGCAGCAACTTTGGACTAGTATCAATTGATTTGCTATTTTTAGGCCTGACTGGACTTGCAAATTAAGAGGTTTTGATTAGAATATACTCTTGGAATAGCAACCTGGTCCTCATCTTTGATCTAGGCCCTCAGATAGAACAGAATGAAGCAGATGGACGTTATCTGAAACAGAGTAAGATGGAATAGCAATAGTGCTTTACAGCTCTAAGTGCTTTATATAGTATCAACCTATTGCCCCAGCAATTTGGGTCTTCATTTTACCAACCTCAGAAGAATGGAAGGCTGAGTCAACTTTGAACAGGTCAGGATCAAACTCCTGGCAGTGGGCAGAATCAGCCTGCAATACAGAATAGAATAACAGAGTTGGAAGGGACCATTATTCCAACCCCCTGCTCAGGCAGGAAACCCTGTACCATTTCAGACAAATGTCACGGTTCCAACTGACGAACCAATGGTTGTCCAATCTCTTCTGAAAAACTTCCAGTGCTGGAACATTTACAACTTCTGAAGGCAAGTTGTTCTACTGGGTTGATTGTTCTCATGGTCAGGAAATTTCTCCTTGGTTCTAGGTTGCTTCTCTCCTTGATCAGTTTCCATCCTTTGCTTCTTGTTCTGCCCTCAGGTGCTTTGGAGAATAGCTTGACTGCCTCTTCTTTGTGGCAACCCCTGAGATATTGGAACACTGCTATCATGTCACTCCTAGTCCTTCTTCTCATTAAACTAGACATACTGAATTCCAGCAACCATTCTTTATGTTTTAGCCCCCGATCATCTTTGTTGGAAAGGATACGCGCTGCATCCTAACCACTGCACCCCCACAGAATCAGTTTGGGCTGCTTCAGAGTAGAAGGACATGTGGACTTGCTGGGATGTGGGTTGTTTTCCTGTTTTGGTGGAGTTTTTGATTGCAGGATTCATGTATTTCTTCTTGTTTGCAATTTGGTAAGCCTTCAAAATAGTTAACCTTGTTTCTGGAACTTCATCTGTGCCAATATTTTCTTGCATAGTTTCAATACGATGATTTGAGCAGCGTCTTAATCAAGGACACCAAAGATGCTGAGTTGCTGTGGTTCTTATCATTTGGCACACTGTCCAAGGCAAGAACCAGGGAAGTCCCTGCTTGATATGTTAAGCCACAGAGTGCAGTCCTTTTTCCGTCTCGGAAAACATGCAGTGGATACATTTGAAAAGCAGAAAGAAGGTATTTCTCTTTGAGGAGCATACAAGGTATGGTGGAATGGTTAAAAGACAGGATCCAACCCGGGTCGAACTCCGGGACCAGAGGTTTTCTTTTCCAAGCTTTTGGACTCATGCTGGAGCTTGAGACAGGGTCCCTGTGGATGGGCTCCAGCACAAGTCTGAAAGCTTGGAAGACAAAACCTCTGGTCCAGGTGACCGACCTAGATTGGATCCCGCAACATTATCCTGGGACCCCTGTGTTTGCCTTCATTCATGGTTAAAAGACAATCAAATTTGTTTATGTCCTATCATGCCAGGAAACCGTTCAACTGCACTTAGAACAATCACATGAGCGTGGCATTGAAGAAGTGAGTTATGTGATAGACTAATAGCTCTCCTGGTAGACCAGTGCCCAGTGTTAGTTGTGTTGTGTTGTAGTCCTTAAAGCAGTTTGATTTTTTTGGACTGTAGAGTTGTATTTGTTTGGGTGGATAGTAAAGCTTGAGAGATATCAAAGAGGAAGGTCTGGCTGATCAGACTGAGATGCTCAAATGATGTCCCCACATTCATGCTAGTGCCCCACTGGTGGAGGCAGCCAACCCAAATGAGAAAACCAATAATCTTGCCTATATTGAGAGCTTCCTCACACAGTGCACATTTGATACTGAGTCACAGCAGTTGAATAAACACGTGGGGCAGAAAATTTGGGTCTGCCATTGCTTTGGGCCAGCTCAAGGAGAGGGGTGAAGCACACTTTAACTCACCAATTGTCTACTCAATCTTAATGGTGTCAGTTTCTCATTGGGCTTCCAGAAACTTGTACTCCAACCTGATCCACCATTCATAATTTGTTCTCCACAAGGAACAGTGGAGATCTTGTAATTGGAAATCTTGTAATTGGGAATTCTCAGGCATTAATTCTTGGCAGAATTCTTACAAGGAAGCCATGGAATGGGTGTCAGTATAGCAGGCAGATCCCCAGTAATCTGCCTCAGTTGCCAGATCCTCAGTGTGGTTGACTCAAGATTCCATAGTTTTTTGCCATAATACCACTTTGTGGGTGCCAAAGTTAATGTGCTTGTTTCTACATGTCTTCCAGCCATACAGTACCAATCTGAGTTGGTACTGTAGCTACCACTGAACAGCCTCAATTGTTTCTGCCTCTTCTGATCAGGTCTCCCATTTAGGAGAGGAAGCGTCTTTGGATAGCAACTATTGCCACACTAAACAATTTATCTGAATAATCTGGGATGATATTCTCAGATTTCTCACCCTCTTTCTTAGGATTCTCAAAAAGGATCTAGGTGAAGTTCTTCTTTTGAGACTTGCTTTTGGGAGCTTTCTGATTTGTCTTGACTATCAGTCCAGTTGTCTTAAATTCAGGGAATATAGTTGCAGCACATTCTCATAAACTCAGCAGGGTTTTATGCAATTTTATATCCCTGAACTAGATTGTCACTCGACTCACCTTTGTCATGTCCAGGTGTAAGATCCAAAAATCCCAACAACTGGTTCTCTGCCCGATTGCTCGGTGGGTGTGGCCATGGTGGTCGTGGCCTACCAGAACTTCCGGGAGGGCCATTTTTGTCTGGAGACTTCCCTCAGGCCTCTGGGAGGGTGAAAACGGCCTCGCTTGGGCTCCGGAGGCCCTCCAGAAGCCAGAAAGAGGCTCGTTTTCAGCCTTCCGGAACTTCTGGGAGGGCCGTTTATTGCCCTTCCAGAGCCTCCGTGTGGACCCTGCACTTACCTATATCCAAAACTTACCTGCATTCAATTACCATTTCAGCTCTGAACCGGCCTGAACCAGATGAATCCAACCCCTGGTCATGTCTCACATTTGGCCAATGTCATACAGTGAAGCCTGGACAGTTGCTCATCATAGAAATTGAACAAAGAAATATATCTCTGTTTGGATTTCTTAATTTCTAATCCCTGGTATTTGAGGTGATCTGCTTCCACTTCTCTCTTAGCTACATCAGTGGTGGCAGCACCAGTCGGAAGATTTTGCGTTTTGTGGACAAGATTGCTAAATCCAAATATTTCCAGAAGGCCACTGAAAATGAATTCATTAAGAAGAAGATGGAAGAGGTTTCCAACACTCCACTGCTTTTGACTGTGGAGGTCCAAGATCTGACAGGCACATTGGCTGTGAACATCCCTCCACCTCCAACAGATCGAATCTGGTAGGTGCCCAGGGAGTAGAAGCAGAGGAACTGACCTTCTGGTTGGATCTAGCAAAGATGAGGCTGGATGAGATTTGAGCACTATGCCAGACAGGCATCATGGACTTGGAAGGAGAAATGGAGACTTTTTAGTAAACTGCCCCATCACCATATCCCTGGCAGCAGCCAGGACAGCAGCAGGTTGAGATGGTCCTGGTAGCCCTTTTTGTAAATTCTCCTGAGTTCTGGAATTCTAGGGAAGGAACATGGTATCTACATATGGATTAAGCAAAGGCGAGACAACAGTTGCTGTCAAAGAACAGAACATAGAATTATATTTTTCCATATCTACCTTTAATATTCTTTTACAAAATAGATTCTAGGAGTCTTCATCTTATTTGCTCAGCCACATCTGAGTAAGACAGGAGTGTAACAAGAGGCGGAGTGTTGGTTGTAAACAGATACTTTGGCCTTTCTTTTGAACTCCCATTAAGAACTAGAGAATTTTTAATCCTGGTTTGCTGGGATAAGATCCCCAGTGCCGCCTTGCTTTAGGCCAGCAGAGAAGGGTGAATGAGGTTTTCTCCCTGCCCACTGGAAACCATCCAACTGCCAGCAGAAAAGGAAATGCTTCAGAGGGAAAAAGGAAGTAGAATCACTTTTGCCTCCCTGCTCCCCAGGTACAGCTTCCGGATCCCTCCACAGTTAGATATGAAGGTACGGCCACGGCTAGGAGAACGGGAGGTCACCTTCCCGCACATCACTGAGTGGATTGAGAAGAAGCTCCAGCATGAATTCCAGGTATTTGGTTGATGTAGCCCATGATGAAGGATTGGAAGGGATCCTAAGCTGAACTCAGTTCAGGTCCCTTAGTGATAAACCTGAGACGTTCTTGCAGCCGCAAGAGGTATTGAGAGCCCCCAGCTTAAGTGTATTTCCAAAGGAATCAAGCTGGAAGCAACTTAATGTGGGCTGGCCAAACCTTGTTCCCTAGGAGGCTTTTAAGGTGTAAGACCCATTTGTCCCTGTTCCGTTTGGCCAAGAGGTTTAGATGGCCTGGAAAGCTCCCTGGCTAGTCTTTACTTCCATCTTTTTCAATTGCTACAGAAAGGAAAAGGCAAACAAGTAAGTGGTGGTTTTGGATAGTGCATGACTGAATTCTAGTGACTGTTCATACAACGTATATATTGGGGGTTCAGAATTAACCTATTTTTTGAGTCCACCCAATTTGTTAAACTGCACAATGGGTTGATTTGCAATATATTAAACCATGGCCAAAACCAAAGAAGCAAGCAAAGATAATTCTAACCACATGTATGTGTTGTGCACATACAGTATCTACATCTTTAATGGAAGTGGATAAAAAGTTGATAGATGTAACCCCTGGGAACAGTTATTCTTGGGAAAAGCAGAGTCATTTCCTTCCTTTTCTTTAGGGCATGATGTGATTCTTCAGTTCAGAGTTAGTTCATGTTTAGCTCCTCTCTTTTGCCAGATCTTCCTACTTGTAGCTTTACTTGCTTTCTAGTAAGAAGTTTCCTTACCACACACACTTCCATTAGCTACTTAATTAGTATTAGTTAATTATTAACATTGAAAGGCATTCATTGAAGGCATTAATTAACACTGAAAATTGCAATTGCCACTGGTCATTCTACTGTTGAGAGGCCTGGAACAATAGCAATAGCAAAGAGCTCTCCTTCTTAACTGGAGTTGTGCCTTCTCTGAAACATTCAGTTCCATCACGTTGACCAATATTGGCTTCCCTTCCACAGCCATAGACTTAGTCTCACTGTAAGAGTGTAGGAGCCTTTGGTTTGCAAACCTCCAGGCAAATTTAATTTTAATTTTTCATTCTTGCTTCCCATCAGAAAATTTTAGTGATGCCAAATATGGATGATATCATCTTACCTCTGATGCATTCTGGTTTGGAATCCCAGCCTCTCACAGAAGGACCACAGGAAGAACTTCTAGCTGAGGATGTCAGAAACATGTGAGGTGCTGTCCTCTGGTGGCTGACCTGCTCCAGTCTCTTGAGGGAACTAACCGGATACCTGGTCATAGGGGCACCTGAGCTTGAGAATAAAGGTTCTCCCTGCTGGCCTCTCTTCTCTCTGGAACTGTTTTCAGATGAAGGGGATTTGTCTGGATATGGCTTATTGCAGGAGGAGATACTCCCAAGTATCTGACAAGCACCCTGTGTGGCTGAGAAAGAAAAGGCAGCAGAGATGCCAAGACCCCCGACTGCTTGGAATTCTCTCCATGTTGCATCTCTGCAAGTAATTTTAGTTTTAAGTATCAGTTAAATGGCAGAACCATCAATAACATTCAACAGGGTCTCTGTGGAGGAGGAAATAAGAGTGAAAGGCCCCTTCAGCTTGACTGACAGTTTTTGGGAAAAAAAAAAAGGAAGAGTGATGTTTCTTACCACACAATCTGGGCTATTCACACCCTCTCCCTATTTCCTGGCTATTGGCAACCTGAAAGATGGGTACTAAAGCTTTGGTTCTGAATTCACTCTGACCCCAGTAGAAGCTGAAGACTAAGAATACAGGGCAGGGGAGCCATCAACACTCCACCGTCCTGATCCAGAGGTCTCAGAAGAAACCTGACCTGGTCTGGGTTTTAAAATGTGCTTCAGTTCAGAAACTCCTGGGGCCAGGAAGAAGGGGAACCTCTTCTCTGAGCATTAACTCAAAAGAACCGCCTGCTGCCGCCAGGGGACCAGGGTGCTTGTCTACCGGAGTGCATGGATTCTCCCCCTTCTTTAGCCCCTCCTTCCCAGATTGTCTTCCTATCTACACTGCAGGAGGCCTGAATCAGGGGAGGCAGCCCTCTTATCCTCTTCACAATGCAACGTTTCGAGAAAGCCATAGCAACGCACAAGCTGACATTAGTGAACCAGACACTTCTATAAGGGCTTTGCTAACTGGGGATAATATGTATATCTGATGGCTGCAAGAACAGGAGGGAAGGTGAAAGAAAATAAAGGCTCGAATCAGTCCTTGAAGTGGGTTTTTTTCCATTCCTGCTGCACTTGTTCCTAACGGCCCAGAATCACTGGGAGTTTGGCAGTGTGTTTAATAAATTATTACTTGTGTGACAGAGAAATTAAACACTAAAGCATTCTGGCACCACTTATGTAGTATGGATTTGAATTTAGTCAACAAATCATGATTGAATAAGCCATAGCTAATTCACCCTAATGCTGTTTCCAAAATTAAAAAAAATCCTCATGTTTCATGGGTAATTTACTATTTACTTGAGATCTAGAGATTGGCACAAAAATAAAACTTTAAAACATCTTCTGTTCAAAGACTTTAACTAGTTGACATTCGCAGCGGCATAAAACTTGCAGCAGAAAAAGCTATTCTGTTTTTGAGGTTAACACAAGTATGTTTCCTGTGACAACTGGGATTGAAATTTGGGGACTGAAATTTAGGGTTTCTTTTTTAGACTTTAAACTCAAGCTAACTTTGAGACAGTATTTTTATAAATTGTTATTTTTGCAAAAGTTAACTGATTTTTAGCTGATTTTTTGCACATCTTCTATATTGTTCATAGACATTGGCCAGAAGTTACATTACTATTTAGGAGTTCATCCATTTTTACTATTTTTCAAAGGTTTCCAAAGTTTGCTGAGTATACATTTTAATGTCTAAGAACGTTGCTTTGAAAATCAAAATTTCCTATGATGTGGTTGGAAGCCACACGAGCAGCATTCTCTGCACCCCAGATTGCTGGATGAATCGTGTTTCATAGGTATTAGGCACAAGGCATATCACCTGTGATGATGTCACTTCCCCCTTGGTCCCTTCACACATGAACGTTCCTCTGGTAACCTGAAAAATAATATTTGCTATCACTGCTTGTTGTTTATTTTAAAAGGTTTTAATAGATGAAGAACTAAGGAACCAATTCAATCGAGAATTTGAAATGGGACAAAATTACTTTCATGGAAGCTGATTGACCTAATTACTAGAATTTTCTCCTTAAATTTTGACCAAACATCTGCTCATTTGGCCAGATATATTGTAAAGTCCCGAGAGATTTCAGAAAGCGACAGAAGAAAACTCCATCTTACATAATATGACAATACCTTTATTAGCACCAGGCAAAGGTGCAAAAATATAAGCAAGTATCTGGGTTCAGACATGTCCATGGATGGAGTGGTAAAAAAAGTCAAGATGACAACCACTTCAATCATGCTATCACAAGTGCCATATTGATTTTTTTTTTATCCTCCCTGAATAACCCTTATTATAAATATTGGGGTTTCTCTTTCAGTGATCTTTTTTCTAAGGCTGACAAAAACTATTCCATTTCAAAAACAGAGACCATGTTTGCACTCATATTTGATAAAGCCCCAGACACGAACAATTCCGAAGTCTCTTCTTCAGAAAAACACCTTTACAATTCCTCTGAAGTTTCTGGCTTCCCTTTCAGCAGGTGTTTCTTCTGAGGGCCCTGAAACCAAAGAAGAAAAATGGCTGTCAGCATCTCAGACTGCTACACTTAAATGGGCAAAACTATGTGGGAAGAGCTGATGGATTTCTGTGGAGAGCTCTGCCTTATTTCTATATTCCTTCACACGTTCTAGGCGTGTCTTCTGGTGGGCTACAAGATTTCAGCTGCGACTTCACCCCTAACTGGCAGCAAATATTTCCTATCTTCCAGATCTTTTGCAGTCCAGATGTTGCAGTTCTATTTCTTGGCCATCTTCAGAATCGGATTGCAGCAAGGCCTGACCTAAACCCTGCAAAACTGCCTTTGAAAGTCTAACTGCCAGGAGAAGTTCTAACCAGAGAAATTTCCTGACAGAACAATGAATCAATGGAATGATTTGCCTGCAGAAGTTGTGGGGCTCCAACCCTGAAAGTTACAAAGAAAAAACTGGACAACCATTTGTCTGATATGGCATAGTTTCCGGTTTCTGCAGGGGCTTGGACTAGAAGACTTCCACAGTCCTTTCCAACTCTGTTATTCTGAATATCAGTCAATGTGATGGCTCTGACTGTGCAATGGAGGCATTTTAGTCTTCCAGATAGATATGAGAAGAAAGGTTCAAAGGTTCATTCAACAGTAATGCCCGGTTCATTTTTCTATGGTTTCATTCCACCTTTCCAGAAAGAAACAGTAGTTGGGCAGATTTTTCTCCATTTTAAAAAATGAGATTAAATTTCAGTTGGTTTTGTGATCCTTAAAGAACTTCGGCAGCAGCCTGAATCTTTCCCTGCTCAGTTTTTCTTGGGAGATCTAAGCATTAGCCACACGTTGAAAGGGAAAAAATTTCTCCTTGTTCATTCGTTTCATATCACACCAGTTTATAAGGTCTGTCTTACCGTCACTTAGGGCTAAACCGCAGGATCTGTAAATGAGAATTATGCAGAAGGCCAAAGGCATGGCCTCTGTGTCCCTTTTTAAGAAAAATTCTGCATGGTGGCCTATATTGGACTGTGACTAAAATGTCCAAGATGGTTGAAGAGGGAAACCTCCCCCAGAGGGGTGGAAAGGAAGCAAAGACCATGTCTGAAGCCGGCGGGGACTAGGTTGCCTCTCCATGTTCCCCCCACAACTGCCATGTCCAGCTGCCAAGAGGGAAGAATCCTAGAGTTTGCAAAATTTAATGTATTTTGACATGCAATTCTCTTCCGTCTTGGATTCCATATGGCAAAAAAAATAATTCCCAGGCACAGGTGGACAAAAAGGGAAGATGGCATCTCCGCCTGTGTGGTCAAAGGCCCACTTTGACCTTTTACTTGTCTCACAACTTGACTTTTTCAATCCAATGCCCCGCCCTGGTTCCCTAGGTTTTCCTCTCCAGCACGTCTGCCGGAAGGGGAAAGCCTAAGCAGCGGAGGAGGTTCTCTTGGCGATGGATTAGGCTGCCCAAGCCCACAAAGAAAAATGCCAACTTGGCTTGGCCAGATGTTTCCTCCCTAGGCCCATCTCCCTAGGGCCTGTCCGGCAGAAGCCAACTGCAGCTGTGCCTATTGCTCTATGGCTGCTCCTCCCTGGAAACTGGGACTTGCATGGGGGCTACATTTGACTTCCTGACCTAAAACCTTTCTTCGTGGGTCACTTTGATCCAGTTGTGCTGGGGTCAAGATGGAGGCTCTCTTTTGACAGCAAAGGGAAGACCTCAGATAAGGAGAGTGGAGTTGAGACCTAAGAAAGAGCTTCCATGTTATTGTTTAGCAACAAGGAAAAGAAGCTGATGGGAACATATAAACGTTTAGAATCTTGATTAAAAACATAATTGTTAGGACTGAATCTCATTGGGAACAGAAAGGAGATTAAGCTGCACTAGAACAATTTGTGAATGGAAACAGGTTTCCCAGGTGTCCTTAGAACAAAAACGCAAATAGAGGGATAATTCAAACTTTACTACCATATATAATGAAAATAAACAAAAACTGCATTGAGTTCCAGAATAATCTCACTCTGAACCTCACTGCTTTCTTTCTCAATTAAAAGCTGCTAAAGGAAATAACCAGTCTGGATCAAATTCTGACATTAATTTGTGAATGGACCAGCAGAATACTTCCCACAGAACTGCCCTAATCTTGGATGACTGAACCAAATCATGGTTTCATACAGAGAACTCCCACCAGTTTGTTTGTCCAGCTTGACAGGGGTATTTCCCAGCACAGACTCACCATGAAGGCCCGCTTCTCTTGTGCTGTCTGGAAGCAGCCGTGGCCAAACTTGGAGGTGGTGTCGATGAATTTCAGCTCCACAGCCTCCAGAGCTTTTCGGCTTGTGTGGACCAGAAGGGACTGGGGACGCAGGAGGAAAGGGTTACGGCAGAAGCCCAGAGGAGAGGCAGCCCAGAGCCCCAGAATGGTGGAGGCTTCTCCAGGCAGCAGTCCAAACACCAGCTGGATTCTTTCCAGGAAAGCAGCCCAGGGCAGGGGTCAAAATGTTGGGCTTGGACCAGGGAGGCAGCTCCCTCCTCAGCCCTGGAAGCTCATCAGGGGCCAGGCACGTTTTCTCAGCTCAGGGGTGGGGGGTGGCAATGAAGGGGGACCCCCATTTCTCCTGCCTTGATCTCCACGAGGAAAGTCAGGATACAAGTGTAATAAGTGCACGTGATCTGGGAGCTGTAGTTCACAGGTGGAGGGCAGCTACATACCTATGCGGCAAATCCCCATGCCCCTCACTGAAATTTAGTGCTCAGAATGTATGCACAATCTAATCTAATGCACAATCACTGCACATTGCGACAATAGGAGTGACAAACAAATGTAATAAATAAATGAAGAAGACTGCAAAAGCCTCAATTTCATAGGTAAAATTGAGCCCAAAACTAGGTACGGTCTAGTCTGAGGGCCTAGACACTTGGCTTAGATAATGATGAATAAAAACATTTCTTTTTCTTCCTAATGTCCATTACCTCCTGTGTTTCTTCTAAGAAATTCAAGCCATTTCTGTAGGGCTTTCACTGCATTTCCCACCCCATTTTGTGGTGATCCCTGCACAAGACTCTGGTGTGCAAGCAGTGGCACTGTGAGCCTCCTGTTGATGGCTTCCAGGTTTGCTGAAATGCTAATCTGCTCAGGCTGAATCCTCCCAGCCTCACCCTCTGCAGAGCAGCACACCACCTTGGATCGGTCAACCCCCACAGGCCAGCCCTCCCGCCAAAGAGCCACACTGGTTGTCCTTCATCCCTGTCCTTCACCACTGTCCTTCACAATGCCTCAGTGAGGCCCTCACCTTCCTCAGGGTCAGCACCCGCTTCCTGGTACCCAACACACAGCCCTTCACCATCACAAAGTCGTTGTTGACTTCTCCATACTGAGGGAATCCACCCTGGAAGTCAGATAGGTAGAAAGGACATCAGAGTGAGGGTGGTATTTATTCACTAATGACCCCAGATGGATAGTGGTCCTCCCCAGAAGATACATCTGACCCTTGGGAAGCATGTCACGGCATTCAAAGGAAATGGCTGCCACAAAGAAATTTCACCATGCACAAATTGGCTGCCTTTGCAAGGATGGCCCATTGCAAACGTGTCAATGCCATGAATACTGTCTGGTGATGCTTATCAGGCTCCCTGCCAACTTATTCCCATTTTCTAGTTGCAGTCATTTTATAAACACACCAATGGATGTAAATGGAATCCTAAAGCATTACGCTATTTAATGTGCAGAAAATTCCCAAAACAATCTGGGTCCTCATTTTACCAACCTTGGAAGGATGAAAGGCTTGAGCCAGTCACGAT